TCACTAACGAAAACTTCAAAACAGCTATTGATATTTCGCAAGATAGATATGGTAATACTCACTTAATAATAAATAATCATTTGAAAAAAATGTTAGAATGCCCTCCCTTGAACAAATGTACAGCACACACATTGAGAAATTTCATTTCACAAACAAAACAACATCTAAAATGTTTAGAAAATCTAGAAGTACCAATATCTTCTTGGGATTTGATATTGATTTTCATTTTCTCACAGAAGTTGGATTTTAATACACGCAGAGCTTTTGAACAAGAAAAAAGTTCAACTGCTCTCTCCACTCTTGAAATATTTTTCGCTTTTCTCGAAAAAAGATGCACTGTTTTGGAAAATCTCTCTTCCTCAGAAACTAATAAAGTTTCTCATCTTTGTAGTTCAACCCCTCCCGCAAAACCGCTCAATAATTTGAAATGTTTGTATTGTGGTTATAATAATCATAATATTTATAAGTGCACTAAATTCAACTCTCTTAGCCACCCCATGAAGAAGCAATTTGTTATCAGTAACAAATTATGTTTCAATTGTCTAGGAACAAAGCACACAGTTGAAAACTGTCAATCTAGAGAATGTTCAATTTGTCACAAGAAACATCACTCAATTTTACATTTTGATTCCACACAATCTAATAAGAATCGTACTATCAAATGCTGGATCAAACTCTCAATCTAGGAATTTTCAACCGTCAAATAACTCGACCTCTGAAAATTCTCAGGAAACTGTATCATAGCAGCCCACCACTAGTTCATCACATAACTCTCAATCAGGAAATATGCCCAATCGTCAAAGTTCTGAATTTAAAACTGATAATCTCGCAACACACACAGTTTTTTCTAATAATGTTATTCTCCTAGCCACTGCTAAAGTAACATTGATTTCAGCCCATGGTATACCCATCAGCGCTAAAGCTCTATTAGATAATGGAAGTCAATGTTCATTTATTTCTCAAGATCTATTCAAAAAATTGAATATTCGCCCATATATAAAAAACACTCAGATTTCTGGAATCTCAAATAGTTCATCATTTTCTAATCAAATGGTAGATATTTCTATACATTCAAATTCTGACAAGAACAATCTCAAAGTATCTTGTGTGATTTTACAAAAAGTCACTTGTGAATTACCTCAAACTACTATCAATACAGAGATACTTGATTTACCGGCAAATATAAACCTTGCAGATCCAACATTCTTTGAACCCTCAAGAATAGATCTACTATTGGGATCTGATGTCTATTATGATTTATTAACCCCTGGTATTATAAATTTGGGTACCAATATGCCTTCTTTACAAAATACTCAATTAGGATGGGTGATAGGTGGTCCAATTACAAATCAAAATAGTTTATTGAGTGTTTCTTTGTTTTGTGCTACAATTGATATAAATGAACTTATGCCTAAATTTTGGCAATTAGAAGAAGTTTCAAACACCAAATTTTTATCTCCTGAAGATGAAATGGCAGAAAACATATTTTCAAGCACAACGAAAATTCTAGAAAATGGAACTTTCCAAGTAGATTTACTCTTCAAAACACCATATGAATATTTGAAGCTTGGTGATTCATTCTCACAGGCAAGTAAACGTTTTCATTCATTAGAAAGAAAATTACATAGCAACAAAAATTTATTTTCTCAATACAAAGCATTCATAGATGAATACGTTTCATTGAATCACGCAAAATATGTTCCATTCGAAATTTATAATGTTTCTGCAGAAATTAAATATTTCTTACCTCATCACTGTGTTATACGAGAAGATAGTCTTACTACCAAGTTGAGGGTAGTTTTCGATGCTTCTATGAAAACCTCCAATAACATATCATTAAATGATATAATGTTGAAAGGATATCCAGTTCAATCGGAATTATTTGATATTCTTTGTAGGTTCAGATTATTCAAATATGTCCTGATTTCAGACATACAAAAAATGTATCGGCAAATCAGAATCAATCCATCACATCGATTTCTATTGAATATTCTTTGGAGAGACAATCCCAGGGAGCAATTGAAATGCATCCAATTATCCACAGTTACATATGGTACAAATTGTGCACCATATCTAGCAACTCGTTGTTTGATACAATTGGCTAATATGTATGAAAATGAATTTCCTCTCGCATCTGAAGCCATAAAAAACCAATGTTATGTGGATGATATACTGTGTGGAGCAAATACTTTAGAGAATTTGAGAGAAGTTAAAAAACAACTTGTTACAATGTTAGAATCAGGCGGATTTAAGTTACACAAATGGTGTTCTAATTCGAATGAGTTCTTAGGAATAGTTGAAAATAGCAAACTCATTTCAGAATATGATGTTACAAAATCAGAAAATTATGCGAATAAGGTTTTAGGACTATCGTGGAATCCAAATACGGATAGTTACAAAATTATTTTGCCGCAGAATAATTCAAATTCTTTCACTAAAAGAACTGTCCTTTCTATAATTGCTAGATTATTCGATCCACTAGGTTTTATCGGACCTATTATTGTAGTAGCAAAAATAATAATGCAGAAAATATGGATATGTAAACTCAATTGGGACGAACAACTGCCCGTAGATTTATTGATAGAATGGCAAGAGTTCATGAAGAATATGACCCATTTATCAACTTTAACAGTTCCCAGATATCTTTTTGCATCCAATGATATTTTACAATTAGAAATTCATGGATTCTCTGACTCATCTACTAAAGCATATGGTGCTTGCATATACTTCAGAGCTGTGTATTCAAATAAAGAAGTCACTTGTAATTTAGTATGCTCAAAATCTAGAGTTGCGCCATTAAAACATGTTTCGATACCAAAGTTAGAGCTTTGTGGTATGTTACTTTTAGCAAAACTAACTAGAAGGATGATACATATATTCGAAAATAAACTGAAATTCAACAGTGTGAATTTGTGGTCAGATTCTCAGATATCTTTGTATTGGATACATGGACATCCATCTCGTTGGACAACATTTGTTGCCAATCGAGTTGCAGAAATTCAGGATATCACATTATCACATAAGTGGAGATACATCAAATCAGATGAAAATCCAGCAGATTTTCTTACGAGAGGTCTCACTTCCCCAGAAATATTTATTAAGGATTCATGGTGGCATGGACCTATTTTTTTATCAAAATATGATTTAAATTTGAATACCTTTGAAACAAATTTTCATTTGGATAAAGTTCCAGAACAGAAGAACATAGTATTAGTAACTACTAGATATGATTGTGATATATTCCATAGGTTTTCTTGTTTCACGCGTTTACAAAAAGTAATAGCACTCTGTTTACGATTCAAGAATAATATAAAATCCAACTCTATAAAAAACTATGGTCCATTATCTGTTGAAGAATTAAAAACATCTTTAATAACCATTATAAAAATAGTTCAAAATCAATGTTTTTCAGTAGAAATTCAACAGATAAAACTTAAAAAAAAACATTGAGAATAAAGAATTAGCTTCTTTGAATCCATTCATTGATGATTTGGGTTTATTAAGAGTTGGTGGTCGTTTAGCAAATGCAGACATATCATTTGATCAAAAATACCCTATTTTGATTCCTATTAACGGTTTGAGAGAAATAAAACATATTATTAAACAATGTATTACATGTCACAGATTCAAAGCACAAAGCGCTCAACAACTCATGTCAAATCTACCAAAAGATAGAATTTCATATTCTAGACCATTTCTCAGAGTTGGTATAGATTTTGGTGGACCAATATTGATCAAATCATCACGATTACGAAAAGCCCCTGTACAAAAATGTTACATCGCAGTTTTTGTGTGTATGGTTACTAAAGCTATACACATCGAGGCAGTTTCTAATTTATCTTCAGAAGCATTCCTTATGACCCTAAAAAGATTCATATCACGACGAGGTAATCCGTCTATAATTTTTAGTGATAATGGATCAAATTTTGTTGGTGCTAATAATAAGCTCAAGGAAGTATCACTTTTTTTCAGAAGCAAACATAATTTGAATGAAATTTATAATTTCCTATCGGCCAATGAAACACAGTGGAAATTCATTCCACCAAGAAGTCCTCATTGGGGAGGTCTTTGGGAAGCTGCAATTAAAAGTATGAAATATCATTTATATCGCGTTATAGGGAACACACAGTTAACTTTTGAAGAACTTTCAACAGTTCTCTCTCAAATAGAGGCAATACTAAATTCGCGACCAATCTGTCCAATGTCAAGTGACCCATCAGATCTTGATAGTTTAACGCCTGGGCATTTTTTGATCGGAACTCATTTAACTGCATACCCAGAAAGAGATTCAACTTATATTCCAGAAAATCGATTGGATTTGTGGCAAAAATGTACTAAAATTCAACAGAATTTCTGGAAAAGATGGTCTATTGAATATATGAATCATCTCCAGCATCGGCCAAAATGGTTGAAACCCTATGAGAATTTGAAAATCAATGATTTGGTACTTGTTAAAGAAGATAATTTACCACCTTTAAAATGGCCTTTGGCTAGAATTGTAGAAGCTATACCGAGTTCAGATGGAAAAGTAAGAGTGGTCAAAATAAAAACTGCTGAAGGTATATTCACAAGAGCAATCACAAAAATATCTCCACTACCACATGAAAGTAAAGATTGAAGTTGTCACTTCAATGGGGGGAGTATGTTTGGAATTTACTATACCCTGTATAGGTAAGATTTTCTTGCTTCCATCAATCTCTCTCTGACTTAAAATATTGTACGGTTTTGTTTGGTTGTTGTTGATAGAACTGTCAGATGAAAAATTAATTTCTGAATGTCAAATGTTGTCACTATTTTTTCTAAGTTGATTAAAAGGAAAAAAACAGAAATTCTGGAGTTTCACTAGCAAACTTGAACCCATTGACCAGCAAGAGCAGCCTGGAAAGAATATATGTGGATTCCCCTACAGTAGGAGCCGCTGGTGAAGTTTGGCATGCTAAATTCGGGACACCCTGTACAACTACACTTCATCAAACTGTTTAAAAAACTCATGCACGCACCTGTAATATAAAGGAAGCCCTTTTCATCGATCCTCCCCAAGTCTCCCGTATGTAACCACCCATCTTCGTCAAGCATCTCCTTCGTCATCTCCAACTGGTTGAAATATCCCATAAACACGTGCCTCCCGTACATGCAAATCTCCCCCTGGCCGTCCTGCTCGTTCGCCAACTTGGACCGCATCCCCGGAATGGTCATGCCGATGGTCTCCAGATTGACGGCGCCGTCTATGCAGATGGTGTGGCCCCCGCTGGCCTCCGACATGCCGAAGCACTCCATGATGGGCATGTCGATGCTGCAGAAGTACTTCTTCACGTCGGTGGAGAGGGGGGCAGCGCACGAGCAGTAGAACGTGCACCGCGTGAAGCCGAGCGCTTCTTTGATCTTGTTGAAGATGAGGGAGCTGGCGAGGTAGTAGCCCCACGAGTTCGATTCGATCCTTGAACAAATTATTATTGTGAACAGTGTCAGCATTAAAACATAAGGTCATAAGGTACATACACCTTGTGATTATCAGAACATAAAAAAAGTGGGCTAAAACAGCGAGGCAAAACAACCATTCGGGAATGCAAAATTATCATTTTGCATCGGAGAACTGCATTACAATTGATGAGACTGAAAAATCAATAAATAAGGAAGTTATTGTTATTGTGCGCAATGCACGGATCAAAATATGCACCGATAGCCAGGCGTCACTGAAAGCTCTCACGAACCCGAAAGTGACATCCGGACTGGTACGGGAATGCAGAGAAGAACTCAATGCCCTGTCAGAACATAACAAAATTACCCTGTTATGGGTTCCAGGACATTGTGGCATCGTAGGGAACGAAAAAGCTGATGAACTGGCAAGAACCGGCTCATCAACTCCATACATTGGCCCAGAACCCGTACTCGGGGTTACAAAAACAGCTACCTGAGGCTACATACGGGACTGGATTTGCGAAAACATAAGAAGCGATGGGCTGAAGCCCCTCACATGCACCACGGGAAAGCATTCATTAAAGAACCGTCAAAAAATAAATCTGAAGAACTACTCCAGATGAGTAGGAACCAAGTCAGAACAATAACGGGACTTCTCACTGGTCACAGTCCAACGAGAGGACACCTGAATAAAATGGGACTGTACAATGGAGAACTTCTCTGCAGACAATGCGGTAAAGGGACAGAAACGGCCAAACACTTATTGATACACACACTGGCACAATTAGGGGAACGGGCATAATTTACACTAAGTTTGACATCAATTTTCTTTCGAACCGATCGCTCGATTCAATTTTTTTTCTTCACGAATTGTAGCTGCATTCTTCTCGAATACATCTGAGAAATAATTACATTCAAACGATCAGTCTTTCTATCATATACAGGGGTGTAAAGAAAGTACGAATTTTTCGTTATTTTTTGAGACATCCTGTGGACTGAACCACTGATAATTGAAACGATTTCTCAACACCAAATTGGAGCCTAATCTATTCCGAATATTTTCGTTTTTTATTCATCTTGATATCTCGATTATCCAAGAAAATACAGAGTTTCAAAGGAAAGGTGGATATTGGTATCAATTTTATCACCTCGAAACTCAAATTGGATCTGAAAATGTGTCGTTTCTTAAGTTGTTTCTGAGATAATTTTCCCTTCATGTTGAATATTGCTATCATTTTCACTTATTAGTCTATTGTAAGAAGATTTCATAGAAGTATACAAATATGATAAAAAAGAAATGTTATATTTTCAAAGCCCTCATTCAATAACAATAACATTAACTAAACGAACAATACGGATTCAAAACACCAACAATAATTTCAATAACGTGTGTGACCTCCACGCGATCTTATTACAGCAGTCATCCATCTGCTCATGCTCTCGATGACATTATCGATCATTTCTTGAGGAAGATTATCCCAAATCTCAGCCAGAGCTGCTGCTACTTGCTCGGGATTTTGTACAGCGGGAATTCTGGACCTCAATCGTCTACCCACCATGTCCCATACATGTTCGATTGGATTAAGGTCTGGCGAACATGCAGGCCAATCCATTGCACTTATTCCGACTTTATTTAAAAAGTTGGAGACTGAACGAGCCACGTGAGGGCGGGCATTATCGTGCATTACCTCTGCCATAGGAGACAGAAGCAGTAAAATTAAATTGTTCATTTTGTTCACCTCGGCGGCGATTTAGTCTTTCCCTGCCATATATCGAATTGATGCAGAAGCGGCTCTCATATGTTGAAAGAACGTTGGCCAACTGGCCCTTTTCAATTAATGCTACAGCCCTCGCCAAATCAGTAGGAGTCAAATCTCTCATGTTGAATTTTCATTAATCAAATTTATAAAATGTGAATCGCTTGACTCTGACAATAATTAATGACATAAACAAAATAGCCAACGTTGATTAACAAAAATCGCATTTCACCAAAAGAAATTGGAGCTACTTTCATTACCCCTGCATATTCATGAGAGTATTCGTATATGTGTCTTTAAACAGTAAACCGATAGGTAAAACTGTGAACAATTCTCATCTTGAAGTAAAAATCCTCACAGAAACAAGTTGAAAAACGATACGTTCTTATCCCCAGTTCGAGTTTCGAGGTGGTCAAATTAATACCAATATCCACCTCTTCTTTGAAACTCTGTATTTTTTTGGATAATTGGTATATCAAGATGAATAAAAAATGAAAATATTCGGAATAGATTGGGCTACAATTTGGTGTTGGGAAATCGTTTCAATTATCTGTGTGGAAAGACGTATTATTATTATTATTATTATATTCATTCCTTTAAAGATGTTGAAATCATCAGCAGAAATCGGACAAGATGAGTTTTCCATGCTCTGTGGTAAATCATTGATTGACATAATGGAAACAAAGTGGTCCCAGATTACTGCCATATCTCAAAAACTATTGTATCTCGAGGTTGAGTTTTAAGTTTTTTGTTTGAATGACTTGTTTGAATAGTTTCTAATGAAAATAGCGCTAACTTGGGGGACAAAAAAGTTTCGATGTCCCAAATATGGCTTCGAAGTAGCGCACTCCGGAAAATTCATAGAAGTGTATGTATTGTTACGATTTTACTCTGGGTCCGTAATAACTTAACACTCGGTATAACACTTAAAACGATTTATTCTGAACACTACTATACAATAATTACAATACTCGTACTAAACACTTCCGATTCACAACACTTCTTCGATCGTTATTATAACGCTTCCAAATAAAGACTTCCCTTCCTGTCCCTAACAACAACTATTTATACTACCTAATAAAACGTCTAGATTCCACTCGAAATATCGTGAACAGGTCGATAATCTTCTCGAGTCATCTCAATAGCCGTCGAATTACCTAATTACTATTCCAAGAAATATGGCTTGTTTACATTCCGCTCCCGCAGGTAGCTGGGATCGATTGCCAGGGTCGTAACATTTACCCCCTTCTTCAAATTTGATCGTCCCGATCAAAAACAGAACTTTCCTCACCATGATAAGGCTTCAGTCTTTCAAGATGAACAACTTTCATCTTTGTCCTAGGGCTGCGCTGGATTCTATAGACCACATCATTGATCCTTTTCAACACCTTATACGGTCCTTCCCAAGATGGTGTTAATTTGGGTGATACGCCTTTCTTCCGTCGAGGATTATACAGCCAAACTCGATCTCCTTCGAAGAATCCCTCTGAATTGGCTTTGAGATCGTACCGTGCCTTCATTTTGTCACTTGCTAATTTCAATCTCTTCCGAGCAGTCTCATGAATTTTCATCAAGCCATTCCGGAGCTCATCTGCGTAGTCTTGTACTTCCTTTTCTTCAACACTTGGTGAACCGAACACCAAGTCACAAGGTAAGCGGAGTTCTCTTCCAAAGATTATACTAGCTGGAGTTAGCTTCGTTGAATCATGGACAGCTGCTCTATACGCCATCAGGAATAAGGGAAGATGCCTGTCCCAGTCCCTCTGATGCTCTTCGACTACTTTGGAAAGATGTTCTTCCATAGTTCGGTTGAATCTTTCGACCATGCCATCGGATTGTGGATGTAGTGGAGTTGTTCTCGTCTTACTGATTCCCATTAGATCACAGACCTTTTTGAATAAGTTCGACTCAAAATTTCTCCCTTGATCAGAATGTAATTCCATTGGTACTCCGAACCGTGAAAACATGTTGTCGACCAATATCCTGGCAACTGTGGAGGCTTCTTGGTTTGGCATGCCGTATGCTTCTACCCACTTACTGAAGTAGTCCATAGCAACCAAGATGTATTTATTTCCATCATCAGTCAAAGGGAATGGTCCGGCTACATCGATGGCGATCCTTTCAAACGGAGCACCCACATTGTATTGTTTCATTCCAGCTCTTGATCTCGTTCTGGGACCTTTACTGGCTTCGCATACAGGACATCTTCTACACCAACTTTCCACGTCGTCACGACATTGAACCCAGTAAAATCTTTCTCGAATTTTACTCAGTGTCTTGTTAACTCCAAAATGTCCACCAGATTTTCCGCCATGGACTTCTTCCAGAACTTCATTAACTCTGATGTGGGGCACAACCAGCTGAGAAATTGTTGATCTACCATCAGCTGATTCCCAAACTCGCTTCAATAATCCATTCTCCACAACTAGTGAGTCCCATTGTGCCCACATCGCCTTGAAAGCAGGCCCTCTATCCGAGATATCCTTCCATGTCGGTCTTTCTGTTCCTCTTTCTTTCCAACGTAGAAAATCGGCGATATTCGGATCGTTCTCCTGATCTCGTCTCATGTGTGCTGCTGTCCACTTATCATCGGTCACAAGTCTGGTTTTTCTAACATCAGCGGTTCCTTCTCGATGTTCAATGCGCAGACAATGCTTACAGGTTTCCGAACAAGGTCTTCTGGACATGGCATCTGCATTCTGGTGTAGTTTTCCTGGGCGATGCTTAATCTTGAAGTGATACTGGTTCAGCTTTTCCAGCCATCTTGCTATTTGACCTTCAGGATTCTTCATCTCCATCAGCCACCTCAAGGCTGCATGATCCGTCCTAATGAGAAATTCTCTCCCGTATAAGTATTTGTGGAAATGGTCAACAGCCTTAACAATTGCCAGCAGTTCTTTCCTGGTGACACAATAATTCCTTTCTGGTTTGGCCATCACTTTGCTGTAGTATTCTATAACCTTTTCTTGACCATCCTGTACTTGTGATAGCACGGCTCCAATTCCGATGTTACTCGCGTCTGTGTCCAAAATAAACAAGCCTCTCTCTTGTGGGAACCCCAAAATAGGACTCGAACAGAGGCCAGCCTTCAATTTCTTGAAGGATTTCTCACATTCTACAGACCAGTTGAAGTTGACTCGATCTTCTGTCAATCTATGGAGTGGTGCCGCAATATCAGCAAATCCTTCCACAAAACGACGGTAGTAAGTGCACAATCCCAAGAAACTTCTAACTTCATGTTTGTCCTTCGGTCTTGGCCAGT